TGTAAAGCGCTTGGGATGTCCTTAGATCATTAGCAACTCCATCACTGCAAATTTGATCTTTCTTGAGTAAGTGATTAAATAATTAAATAGTTACTCAAGTGAACAAATACAATAACAGCTAGGCACAACAGTAAGAGTTAGTAGGCAAGTCAGACAGACAAATTTTGACCCACAAGAATTTCTCTTGCTCCTATCAGATCTTACCTTCAGCTTCCCCATCTCGCCCCACTTGTACAGGTGAAGAAGCACGAAAGAGAGAAAGACATAGCAACAGGAGGAGGCCATTCAGCCTTTTAAACCAATTATATCATGACTGATCCGTATGTTAATTCATCTATCCACCTTGGTTCAATTACCCTGAATAATCTTAATCAAACAAAATCTAACCAATATCAATTTTTAAATATTTAATTGGCCCGATTCCCCAGTCTTTCTGGATGAGAGAAGCTTCCATATTTTCACTTCCTTTGGTACAAAGAAGTGCTTTCTGACATCGCCCCTGAATGATTCAACTTTAATTTTACAATGACACCCCTTTGCTTACAACTATCAATTGCAGGAAATAGTTTCTTTCTATCTACCACATCAAATTCTTTAAATACTGTTAAATCCACAATTAGCTCACCTTACAATCTTCTAAACTCAAGGTAATAATATCCAGGTCAGATCACATGCAAGAAGCAAGCACCAATCTTCTGCTTAAATAAAAATCAAAAGAACTGCAGATGCTGAAAATCAGAAACAAAAACACAAATTGCTGAAAAAGCTCAGCAGGTCTTGCAGCATCTGTGAAGAGAAAGCAGAGTTATCATTTTGGGTCCGGTGACTCTTCCTCAGACTCATTGTGCTGGGGCTTGACAGTTTCACGTTGTTAAATTTGCAATAAACAATTGCCAGCTCTAAATAGTGTCGAAGGGCCCACAAAACATAAAGGAATATGTCTTTATTTGTGCTACCAGAATCTATGTACTGATCAGTTATTCAACCCTACATTGATCATACAGACCAGGGAGGCTCTTTTATCTTTGGGCTGAGTAGATTGAGCTACTCACTGATGTTTGTGTGACGCTGGCCCCAAGTTCACCTGGCCTAGGAATGGAGGAGAGAGTAAAAATTGAGCAATCAATGTCTCTGACTCTTCAATAATTATTAATGACCCAACCTTAACCAGACATGGAGCTGCACAGAGATTGTATTCCACTCCCCACACACCTAACTTAGGAGCCTGATGTAGGCTTCAGGCTTTATTGACATATACGTGAATTGTTGGAGTTTACCATCTGTTTAGTCAGCTTGAACAATACAGTTGTTAGGCCGTATGTCTTACTGGAGTGGCCAGGACCCAAGTAGAAGAGGTTTGCAAACACTCCCAAGGAGCCCTACAGAACTGAAGATTAATCATATGGCAACTGCAGGAGAAAAACCTTAGAAAATATTGAACAGAAGTAGGTATTTTCAAAACATTCCATTTATTACTTTCCAGTAATATTGGGAGATGAGCGAACAAAGGCCATTTCACCAACAGTAGCATTCCCGAATAAGAGAGATTTGGTAACAATTCTATTTCTAATCAGCCCTAGGAAGCAGAATGCTCAGAGGATAGACTGATGTTGGGATTGTGTGGGCAGGATAGCTTGAGGCAACAGGCCATACGATGAAAGCTCCAGGAACATAGCCAGCCAAATTTGACATGCCAAACTCCCACTCCTTCTGTCTTGAGGGGTGCTATTTTTCTCTTTATCTACATACGAAGAGGGGCAGATAGAATTTTGTTTGGATAAATGAGAGGTATTGCATTTTGGTAAGCACAGGACTTATACAATTAATGCTAGGGCCTTGGACAGTGTTGTAAAACAGAGACACCTAGGGGTTCAGGTACATAATTCTTTGAAATTTGCATCACAGGTAGAAGCAAACATTCAAACATTCATCATCGTAGAATCCCTACACTGTGGAAACAGGCCCTTCAGCTCAACAAGTCCACACCGACCCCCAGAGCTTCCCACCCAGACCCATCCCCCTATGACCCATCGAATCTACACATCCCTGAACACTACGGGCAATTTAGCATGGCCAATCCACCTAGCCTGCACATCTTTGGACTGTGGGAGGAAATCGGAGCACCTGGAGAAAACCCACACAGACACAGGGAGAATGTGCAAACTCCACACAGATAGTTCCCGGAGGGTGGGATTAAACCCAGGTCTCTAGCGCTGTGAGGTAGCAGTGCTAACCAGTGAACCACCGTGCCGCCCCATAAAGACACTGATGTGGTATTTTTTTTAGCTCAGTATACTTAATTCCCTTATTCACCATTCACCAGGAAGATAGGGTGTTTAAAAAGGCACTTAGCATGCTTGCGTTCATTGCTCAGACCTTTGAATATAGAGTTGGGACGTTATGTTGAGGTTGTACAGGACATTGGTGAGACCAGTACAGGACATTGGTGAGACCTATTCTGGAGTAATGTGTGCAGTTCTGGTCACTCTGTTGTAGGAAAATTATAATAAATTGGAGAGGGGGTTCAGAAAAGATTACCAGGATGTTGCTGGGAATATAGTGTTTGAAATATAAAAATAGACTGGAAAGAATGAGACTTCTTTCACTGGAGCGTAAGAGGTTGAGGGGTGACCTTATTGAGGTTTATAAAATCATGAGGGGCATAGATAAGGTGTATGACAAGGGTCATTAAAATTAGGGGGTATATTTTTAAAGTGAGAGGAGAAAGATTTTATAAAGGAAACGAGGGGCAACTTTTTTTTAAAAAAACAGAGAGTGGTTTGTGTGTGGAATGAACTGCAAAAGAAAACTGGTGGATGCAGATACAGTTACAACATTTAAAAGAAATTTGGATAGGTTCATGAATAGGAAAGGTTTGGAGGGACATGGGCCAAGCACAGGCCAATGGGACTAGCTTTGTTTGGGAACATGGTCAGCTTGGACTGGTTGGACCAAAGGATCTGTTTCCATACTGTATGACTCTATGATTTTATATAAATTTGAAATAAAAACATACCTGTCGTTAGTTGCAGTGTAGATGTAACATAGGCAAGGGGCCAGAAAGCTGCTTTAGGTGGCTGCCCAAGAAACAAGACAAATTTTCAAAGTGCAAAATGCACAGACCATCTCATGGCTAAAACCGTCAGCATTACAACCAATTAAGATTTGAAACAGGCACAAGTATACAACATCTATCCTTTGTCTTCAGGAGGATGAAGGTGAGAGGACTTAGTGTCAGGGCTTTGCAATCATTCGTAAGAGAAAACAACATGGGAAAGTTAGTTAGCTTTATTAGTTACCAGAATAAATCATTTTTCACAAGATTGCACATTTTTACAACATCTTCTGATAAATAATTCTGTATAAAACAGATAAAAAGTACTTTACAAAAACTAGGCAATTACTTAAAAACCTGGACAGATCTTGACAGGAGAAGCATGAAGTAAGATTGCTGTTTTGCACATGAGAAGCAAGGGCAGGGGAAGGTCCCAGTGCAAGAGTAACATTACACTCCCAAGTCACATAACTGCATTATAACAACATTTTACAGTTAATTTATAATTACAAATAAGTTAAAGCTAAATTAAAAATTGAAATAAAAATTCAAATACACTACCAAAAATGAGCAAATGTTTATCCCCCTCATCAAAAAATGGTTATAAACTAACACATTGCAAAACTATATTTAAAAATGATTATTTCCTCTAGCTGAAGCATCTCTTTTGCCTTTAAAAACTCGGGTTATTAGGAACTGGTCGCTGGATTCAGGTAAATTCACTGCTTCAACAAACAACAAGTCATAATACAATGCAAAAGAACATGCTAGGAATATTGGAGAAACTACAGCTAGCAAGCTTGTTCGTTCACAATGAAGGGTGGAGAAAGTGCAATGGTGGAGGAGAACATTGGAAGGTCTTTCCAACATCATGCATTACGATGTGGGCATTAGTCTTCAGCTTCTTCTTCCACTTGTTTAATGACAGGCACCCCTAAATTTAAAAGAGATTACATCATCAGTAAAGTTGCTGGTTGGCTTTCCAAAAACATGAAACAAACTTGAGGTGATGCTGACCATTCTGTAGAGGGTAAGCGCATGTACACAGACCAAACTTTGCCACCCTATGCTTCTGTGAAACATCTTGGGGATGTTTTAGTGCAGTGATAGTGATTGACAATGCACGTTGCTGATTCACCCTTTTCATTTATAGTGGTTTTATAATGTCACTTACACTGTTTTCTGAAAGGATTCAGATTAAACTGTATTGATAATACAACACAGTTCACTGGTGCTTTCATAGAAACATAGAAGATAGGGGCAGGAGGAGGCCATTCAGCCTTTCGATCCTGCTCCGCCATTCATCATGATCATGGCTGATTGTCCAACTCAATAGCCTAATCCTGCTTTCTCCCCATTACCTATGATCCCATTCGCCCCAAGTGCTATATCTAGCCACCTCTTGAATATATTCAATGTTTTGGCATTAACTATGAATTCCACAGGCTCACCACTCTTTGGATGAAGAAATGGCTCCTCATCTCCGTCCTAAAATGGTCTACCACGAATCCTCAGACTGTGACTCAATGTGACTGTTCTGGACACACCCACCATTGGGAACACCCTCCCTGCATCTGCCCTGTCTCGTCCTGTTAGAATTTTATAAGTCTCTAAGAGATCACCCCCTTCCACCCCATTCATCTGAACTCCAGCAAAAACAATCTCTTCTCACATGCCTGGTAAACTTTCACTGCACTCCCTTGACGGCAAGAGCATCCTGCCTCAGAAAAGGAGACCAAAACTCATGTGGATGAATTGTTTATCTTTACAACAGAGTTAGCAGACAAACTGAACATACCGTCCAGCTTCTTCAACCTAGTCAGCCTCTTTGTTGCTTCCTCCACCCAGCTGCCTTCAGCTGAATACTTCTCTTCAATGGGATTTCCTACGAAGACGAGGTCGACCAGATTGGGAAGATCAGCCAGTTTGCTGAACTCAGCTAGAAGTTAAAAGAAGGATACAATCAAATTTGTGTGCTTACAACAGACAGAGGTGGGGCAGATCAACATGTGTGCGTACAGGGGAAGACAGGAAGACAGAGTCAGAAGAGAATTTTAACTTGATTGCATGATGGGATCTTGAAGGTCCTGTACCTGGGAAACTCAGAAGTGCTGCAGTACTATCAAAGGCTTTTTACCCAATCATTTACATCAGACTTCCGGATTTCTTCATAAATTAGACAAAGTGGGCAAGATGATAACCCAGAAAGGTGGAAGTTGATGGATTCTGGAGGTGGAGATTGAACTGTCAGACGCTTAAACATTAGATATCTGTAGCTCGCTTTAGTGATACCTCCCTGAATGCGATTGATGTTTGGAGACTAAGATACCATGAATAGATACAGTTTATTAATAATCAAAGGAAGCATTTGCTGAAATCGGGTGGGGTGCCTGGAGGGTGTGAAGCCACACTCAATACAGTGGCAAGCAATGACTTAATGACCTCCTCAGTGCAATAAAGGCAAGTTTAGTGGCACATTTAACTATATGTGACTGTATCACCTCAACCCCTCAGTGTGCCTTCTCAAGCCCACCTTTACACATCACTGCTCACACCAACTTAACTTTCAGCTGCACACATCCTTTGACTACATATTTCCTCACATCCACACTGACAATCACCTTATCTTAATCTCTCATAGCGACCCTCAAGAAGTACGTTCTCATCAATCTGTTCAATACACACCATTAGACTCACTCAGTGGAGTATTCTTTCCCTCTATGTAGGAAAGGGAGCACAGAAATGAGATATCACAGTGCTGTAGGGTATACAACACTCACTAAAAGACTTAATGTCAGTGAAATATTACCACGTACATAATGATGAAGAGGAACATTCCTACCAATTTTAATCCATGGCTTCAATCCCCCACATTCAAACATATTGCAGGAAATGGGGTGGGAGAACTATGAGACCTTCTTGGAGTTTACACATTTTGGAAGGTGCACTGTTATACGCACCAACCTAGACATACACTTCAGTGGGATCAGTAAGAAAGATAGGGTTTTCATCTGATGTCTCAGTTATCATGTGAACAACAGTGAACGAATGGTACTAACAAGAAAAATAATGAAGATCCCATACAGAGGATGGAGGAGACTGGGGCTTTGGCTCAGTTGGACAAAGGTACTGAATCCAGGATTCATTGATGGAGGGGTTACTTCTAGAGCACAGTATCAAACTACAGAGTATCTAACACTGGAATCAAGCGTGTACATCAAGTACATGCAGCCACAGGGCCTCACCAATGGCTTACACCCTGAGCACCACATTAAACAGAAGTGATGAAATATTAGTTCAACAGCACAAACATCAAGTGCAGATGGGCCATGAGAAGATGAAGGTGAATGGAGACATGGAAGTGAGGTTTTGCTGAAAGTGTTTTTACTTTTCGTCATGGTAACAGGCCAGGGGAAGAGGGATGGTGGAAAGGTGCCTAGAATGCTTCATGTATCTAGCTAAAGACGCTCTGTGCTTGTAGAACATCACAAGCTGGCAACATTGTCAAGAAGTGACTGCCTGGAAAACATAATAACCAGAACCTCTGAGATACTAATGTTCAGCAAGCTGATCTTCTGCCTGAACATCCGGTGTTGCGGGATTCACCTCCTGCTCATCCACCTGAGAAGCAACAGGTTCAAGAGAAGCTTGGTGTTGCTTCTGCTCCTGCTGTCCATCCAAGTGAAAACACCACAAACAACCTACAATGCTGACCTGATAGACCATAGCTGGAGATCAGATGTACAAACTTCCAAAGGCAGCTGTAAAGTCAGTGACCTCTCAAGAACAAGCATCGAGCAAAAGTCTTTCTCACAGGCAGGAAAACAGTTTATATGTTTCAGTACTTGAGGGTATTTCTTCAGCCCCCTCAATTGTTGCTGTAATGTCAGTCTTGCTCCCACTTGCAAGTTCCAGGAAGTCCAGTAAACACATGGAACAGAAATTAAATTATAAAGCACATTATAAAAATTGCTCTTAATGAGACATTAAGATACTGAAATGAACTACCCTACTTCTCCCTGCACTGCAGTTACATGTGGAAGCAGGCAGATTGAAACTGGCTTTCGAAAGCGTTGTAGATTTCAATCCTACTCCCAAGCCCACTTACTCTTGGAAGTTAAAAACTTCTGATAGTCAGAGACAAAAGGCCCAATTTTAACTCTGAGTGAATGAGTTTACAGAGAGTTAAAGTGTTACCTAGAGAATCAGAGTTGACAGACAACCTAAATTAATGAACCACTGGAAATAATGCCTACCTCCCTCATCTAATTTCCAAGAGGATTCAGGGATATAACAGTCAACATCTCATTCTATCACATAGATGTGATAATATACCTTTGAATCCATCACATGGAGAGACAGAGACATGAGTAATCAGATTGCAACTTAAAATGGAGATTGCAACACAGGAAGGTACCAATGAGAGGAGTACTGGTGCCTGGCCAGAGAAGAATCCAAAGTTATGCAAGATTAAACAGCACAGCACATTGTTCGCTAAAATCACTTCAAATAAACAGTGAAATGAGGGCAAAAATTTAACATCCCTCTGCTAATGCATGGGAAAAGAGACTATTGAAATCAGTCAATAGACAAAAGGGGCAAAAAGACTTACTGGAATAATAACTGAAAGAACAGAGGATGCTGGAAATCAGAAACAAAAACAGAAATTGCTGGAAAAGCTCAGCAGGTCTGGCAGCACCTGTGGACAGAAATCAGAGTGACCCTTTCTCAGAACTGATGGTAGCTACTGGAATAATATTGGGGAAATGAAATGGGGGACAATGAATAGATATAAAATGAAACCATCAGATTGCAATTTGAATGGGGCCTCAGTTCAAAATAGGCATGAAGTGACTGGGTCATTATAAAGATGGTGGAGAGGAAGCTTTAGAGTACTATGATCTAATCTTTTTACTCAGTACCAACACAGACCCATTATTAGGTCATTAGACTACAATACTGTAGAGGTTAGAGATTTGGCCACAATTGGAAGGGGGTAAATATCCCAAATATTATTGGAACATATTAAGTCAAGAGACAATGAGCAAGATGGATACCTAGTGGCAGCAGTAAAAGGTAGCTATCTGGAGTGCAGAAGAGAAAAACTCAGGCCAATGCTTTTCAAAGTTTTATTTTAACTATTTAGATTCCCAAATCAAAATAACAATGTTTAAATCTGCAGCATTATCAGATACTAAATGAATAGTTTGTGTCAGCTTTTACCGTGGAGAAAGAAATGGAGATTAGAGAATGCAGAGAAATAAATTTGATGTTTTAAAAACAGTTCACATTACAGCTGGGGAGATTTGAGAGGTCTTAGAGACCTCTTGCAGAAATATCTGCATCATCTATAACTACAGGTGTGATGCCTGATGACCGGAGGGTGGCTAATAACGTACCCTTGTTTAAGAACGTTTGTAAGGCGAAACCGGGGAACTTTAGACCCGAGTCTGACTTCAGTGTGAGTAAATTGTTGGAGGTAATTATAAAAGATAGGATTTACGGATATTTAGAGAGGCAAAAATTGATTAGGGATAGTCAGCATGATTTTGTGCGAGGAAAATCACATCTCACAAACTTAATTGAGTTTTTTTGAGGAAGTTACCAAAAAGATTGATGAAAGCAGAGCAGTAGACTTGGTTTTCTTGGATTTTAGTAAAGCCTCCGACAAGGTTCAGCATGGTAGGCTAACTGGTAAAGTTAGGTCATACGGGATTCAGGGTGAGCTTGCCAGTTGGATACATAATTGGCTTAACGGCAAGAGACAGAGACCAGTGGTGGAGGGTTGCTTTTAGGACTGGAAGCCTGTCACCAGCAGTGTTCCACAGGGATTGGTTCTGGATCCTCTTTTGATTGTTATTTATAAAAATGATTTGGATGAGAATAGAGAAGGCATTGTTAGTAAATTTGCAGAATACACCAAAATTTGTGGCATAGTAGAAAGTGAAGAAGGTTTTCTAAGATTACAAAGGGTTCTTGATCAAATGGGTCATGGACTGAAAAATGGCAGTGGTGTTGCATTTTGGTACAAGAAGCAAGCGTGGGGCTTATACAATTAATGGTAGGGCCTTGGGTAGTGTCGTAGAACAAAGGGACCTAGGGGTTTAGGTGCATTTTTTTTGAAGTTTGTGTCACATATAAAAAGGCATTTGGCACGCTTGCCTTCATTGTTCAGTCCTTTGAGTATAGGAGTTAGGCAGTTATGTTCAGGTTGTACAGGACATTGGTGAGATCTCTTCTGTGCCCAGCTCTGGTCGTCCAGTTATAAGAAGGATATTATTAAGCTGGAGAGGGCTCAGAAAAGATTTACCAGGATGTTGCCTGCTATGGAAGGTTTGAGTTATAAAGCAAGGCTTGATATGCTGGGACCTTTTTCCACTGGAGCATAAGAGGTTGAAAGGCGACCTTATAGAAGTTTATAAAATAATGATGGAGTTAATAGTAGTTGTCTCTTCCATAGGATGGGGGATTTTTAAGGTGAGAGGAGAGAGATTTAGAAACTGTATGGGGGGCAGTTTTTTTTTACTCAGAGGGTGGTTCACATGTGGAATGAACTTCCTGAGGAATAGGAAAGAGATGGAGGGATATGGGCCAGGAGTAGGCAGGTGAGACTAGCTTAGTTTGGGATTATGTTCGGCATGGACTGGTTGGACCGAAGGGTCTGTTTCCATGCTGTATGACTCCACAACTATGACAATTTGCAAAGAAAATAATAAATATATTCGCATAATGGACATATAACTGTCAAATACATTTCAACATGGGGTAAATGTGAGATATTTTATTAGGTTTCATGGTTTTTGTAGTAGAAAATAATTTAAATAAGACTGAAAAAAAAGGAATCTGGGAGCACAAATACACAAATCTCTAAAAGTAGCAACACGTTAATAAGGCCATTTATAACAAAAAAGGCTAGAGTTTACTTCTAGAGGGATAGAATTGAAGAGAGATTCTGCTAAACATAGTTAGAATACATATGGAGGTACTGCTTACAGTTCTGATTACCATGTAATGAAAAGGATGTACAGGCACTTGAAAGATGCAAAAAGGTTTTGTGAGGGTGATGCCAGACTGTAAGATCATACTCATCAGAACTACCCACTTTTACCTCCTTCCCAAGACCGATAAACATGGTTGCCCCAGTCATTCCATCTTTTCAGCCTGTTTTTGCCTCTCTAAACATGTTTCTTCGTGTCTCAACTCCACTGTTCTTCCCTTGTGCAGTCTCTTCCAAACTACACCTATAACTTCTCATAAAAAAAAACAAAAGAACTGTGGATGCTGGAAATCAGAAGCAAAAACAGAAAATGCTGTGAAATCTCAGTGCGCCAGGCAGCATCTGTGGAGAGAAAGCAGAGTTAACATTTTGAGTCCAGTGACCCTTCTTCAGAACCAGAATAATCTTCTGAAGGGTCACCCCAAACAACATCCTCTAACATGTTCATTCCAGATCACTCACTTCAGTTTTCATCCTTTCCCAAAGCACCAAACATCTTCCCCTGCACATACTCCCACCTCTGCCAGCACAGCACTGTAACACCCTCATCCATTCTCCAGTCACCGCAACACTTTCCCATGGCACCTTGATGTGCAAGCACAAGAAATGCAAACTTGCCCTTTCATCTCCTTCCTTCCTACCATCTGAGATTCCAAACTCTCCTTCCAAATGAAACAGTAATTCACATCTTTCAATCTAGTATACTGTACCTCCAGCTCACAATGTAATCTTCTTTACATTGACAAGACTAAACACAGATCGAGGTGCAGATCACTATATGATCCCAACTTTCCACTGCTTATCATTTTGATTCTCCACCTTCTTCCAGCGTGACCTCGCTGTCCTCAGCCTACTACTGTTTCAGAGAGGCCTAACACAAACTCAAAGAACAGCACGTCATTTCTCGACTTGACACTCTTACAGCATTTGGAACCCAACAATGAATTCAACTATTTCTGATCACAACTTCTGCCTCCATCCGGTTCTACACATCTTTTCTTCCTCTGTTTTGCAGGTTGGTCTTTATTGGTTTTCTTTAGTCCTTCATGTTTTATTAGATGGTTTTTATGTAGCAAGTCACACCTCATTTGGACAAAACATTTGTTTCTTCATTATCTCCATTACCACTCTTTTTAACTGGCAATTCATGAAATCCTTTGTTATTTAATCTCTCCTGGTCTCTGCTTTATCACAGGCCTTCATCTTTGGCCTTCCTGCCCTCTTTTCACTTTTTTCAATCTGATGAGTGGTCACTGACTGAAATATGAACTCAGTTTCTCTCCACAAAAGTAATTTATTTTGTTTAGTCATCCCATCTGGAGCTTGTAGTAAACTTCTACATGAAAATTGCCTGGCATTTAGTTGTTTCAGAGATAGTAGGAATTTCTGAAGAAGGGTCTAGGCCCGAAACGTCAGCCTTCCTGCTCCTCTGATGCTGCTTGGCCTGCTGTGTTCATCCAGCTCTACACCTTGTTATCTCAGATTCTCCAGCACCTGCAGTTCCTACTACCCCAGAACATTAACTCTGTTTTTTCCTTCACAGATGCTGCCAGACCTGCTGAGCTTTTCCAGCAACTTTGTTTTTGTTGCTATTTGACTCACTGCATCTGTGATAACTCTTTGAACAAACTGGTCAATTAATCCAACTCCTCTCACATCCTTAATGTGGGCAACATTGAAAGTCACGATTCCAGGTCTCTAACAATGCTGTTCTGCAACTGGCCACCAGATGGCATGAGAGCAACTCAGACTGCTTGCAGTCATTTCAAAGACACAGGAATAGAAACCAGCCCCTGTGCCTGTTCTGGCATTTTAGTGAGCTCACAGCTGATCCGTACCTACTTTCCTTAAAACTGCCTTACATCCTTTAATTCCATTGATAGGTTTTCATTAGTTAATCCCAGATTTAAAAATTAACAATTGATCTGGCATGATGCACCCTTTGCAGAAGAGAGTTCCAAACTGTGTCCTCATTCTACTCCTAAAAAAATCTGCCTTGAATTTTCAGATCATGTCCCATAAACAGAGCCTGCAATCAGAAGAAATAGTTTCTCACCATTTTACTTTATTTGCTCTTCTTAATATTTTGAAAATTTCAATCAACTCCTCAACCATCAACTGGAGGAAGTACAATCCTAGGTTGTGTAATCGTTGTAATTAAACCCTTGGTAAATCAACACTGCACTCTCTGCAAAGCCAAATTAAAATTCCTAAAATGTGGTGCCCAGAGGTCCAGGTGTGATCTAATTGGGGTTTTATACAACTGAAATGTGACTTATTCGCCCTTGTAATTCAGTCCTCTAGGTAAAAAGGCTGGCTTTACAGCAAGCATTTTGTTTATGTATATGTCTGTTTGTGATATTTTAACAGTTTCTATATTGGACCCCAAAGTTGCTTTGGGCTGTCACTGTTTCTAGCTATTCAGTCGTGGAGTCTTTGAGGTCTACAGTATACTGAAAAAGGCCCTTTGACCAGTTGAGTCTACACTGGTCAAAAAACAACCACGTGACTATTCTAATCCCATTTTCCAGCACTTGGTCCATAGCCTTGTATGCCTTGGCATTACAACAGTACACACAAATATTTAAATGTTATGAAAGTTTTTGCCTCTACCACCCTTACACGGGAATTTCATATTTGCACTAGCCTTTGAGTGAAAAAAAAACTTCTCTTCATTCCCTCTAAACCTCCTGCCCCTTACCTTATATCTATGTCCCCTGGTTATTGATCCCTCCAATGGGAAAAATTCCTTCCTGCCCCTCAATTTTATATATCTCAGTCATGCTCCCGCCACCCCACTCCCATTACCAAGGTGACAATAGCGAAACATGTAAACAATTACAATAAAATCAAGCAGGGTTTTGTGAAAGGGAAATCGTGTCAAATTTATTAAAGTTCTCTGTTCCATTGATAAAGAGGAACTTGTGGTATTTGGATTTCTGAAAGATGTTCCATAAGGTGCCACATAAGAGATAAAAGTCAAGAACACAAAAAGATAAGAACACAAAGTGCTGGAGGTAATATATTAGCAGAGATAGTATATCTAACTGTAAATAATGGTGGCACAGAGATCAGTGTTGAGGTCTCGAGATTTTAAAATTTATGTTAATGACTTGGATGAAGGGATTAACTGTATTGTAGCCAAAATTCATTGACAATACAAATAGTGGTAGGAAATCAAGTTGTGAGGAGGTCACAAAGAGTCTGCAAAGGAACATAAAAGATAGGGCAAATGAGTGGGAAACAAATTGTCAAATGGACTACAAAGTGAAAAAAATGCAAGGCTGTCCACTGAGTGGGAAGAATAGAAAACACAACTGTACTTAAATGGTTAGAGACTACAGAATGCTGCAGTCCAGGGGAATCTGAGAATCCTAGTGTACAAATCATAAAAAGTCAGCATGGAGGAAGAAATTCGGAAGGCAAATGGAACATTGGCCCTATTGCAAGAGAAATGTGACATAAAAGTAGGGAAGTCTTGCTACAGCTTTTCAAGACATTAGTGAGACTGCACCCACTAGGCTGCTTCCTGGGATAAAAGGATTGACAAATGAGAAAAGGTTGCCTTTATTCTTCAGAGTTTTGAAGAATTAAGGGTGATTTTATCAAGACAAAAATTGTAATGTCTGACAAGGTTGATGCTGAGAGGATGTTTACACTCAAGGGTGAGTCCAGAAAAAGGGAGCACAGTTTCAGAATAAAGGTTTCCCATTTAAGATAGAATTAGGGAGGAATTTCTTCTTTGAGGGTCATTAATCTTTGGAATTCTCTTTTTCATAAAGCATTGGAATCAGGATCATTGAATATGTATTTGAATGAATTTTGTTATGGCAGGCAGTCGGAAAAATGGAGTTAAGGCCATAACCGGTTGAGCCATAATCTTACTGAATGGCAGAGGAGGGTCAAGCAGTAGCACGGCCTACTTCTGTTCCAACAGCTTCTACTGAGGGAGCCTATCATAAAAACATAGAAGATAGGAGCAGCATTAAGCAGCATTCGAACCCTCAGACGGCATTCATTATGGTCATGGCTCATCATTGAACTCAAAACCCTAATCCAGCCTTTCCTTTTAAATCAAACCTTCCAGTTTTCAGTAACACCTTTGATTCCCTTTCCTCTGATTCCTTGCATAGGTTCCCAACAACCTAAATTTAGTTTAAACCCTCTCCATTCACTCTAGCAAATACTCCACCTAAATCATCAGTCGTGGTCCTGCCCAGGTATAACTTGTCCAGTTTGTACTGGTCCCACTTCCCCCTGAATTGGCCCCAGTGCTCCAGGAATTTGAAACAGTCCCGCTCACACTAACTCTTTAGCCACATGCTCATCTGATATATCCTGTTTCTACGCTGACTGGCACATGGCACTGGTAGCAATCCTGAGATCACTACCTTTGAAGTCCCACTTTTCAGATGCTTCCTAACTCTCCATATTCTGCTGTTGAAACCTCATCCCGTTTTTCTACCTATGTCATTGGTACCATCGTGTACCACAAGCATTGGCTGCGCACCCTCCCTCTCCAGGATGTCCTGTAGCTGCTCTGAGACATCCTCGAGTCTAGCACCAGGGAAGCACCATACCATCCTGAGTCTCATTTTCAGCCACAGAAATGCCTATCTATACCACTTACAATTGAACCCTCTATGACTATTGCATTTCCACACTTATTGCTCCACCCCTGTGCAGCACATACATTCTGGAAGTCGATACAATCAATGACCATTGACAATCCTTTGTTCACTACTTTTGTAATCTCTTAAGAAAATTCAATCAGGAATTCAATACTCTTTGCAAATTCTTCTGGTTCTCCGCTGTTCTGAAAACATTTTTCAGTCCTTGATCTTTAATTATAGACACCAGCATTTTCTCTATAAAAAATGTTCAGTTAAGTGGTCTATAATTCCCAATTTCCGGCTTTCACATTCCTTAAATAGCAATTAATTTAGCAATGTTTCAAGCTGAAGGAACTGTTCCTAAGTTGAGAGGACTTTGGAAGGTTATAATTAGAGCCCAAGAACAAGTAGATTGACATCCATCTGCTACTTTGCATTAAGATTACAAACTCACTGAGTGGAGATTTCCAATGTATTGAACATTCCAGCACTCATCACAGCACCAGAAAAGGCACACTGATGAAGTCAGGAAGCTTGAACTTCAAATAATCACAAAGGTATTGACAGAGGTTTGGTGATTTTGTTCTTACCTGTGTGTCAGAGCATTGTGGATCCAAATCCCAGCTCAGAGATTTGAATCCACCGCCTAGACTGACATTTCAGTGCAGTACTGAGGGAGTGCTGCACTGTTGGAGGTGCTATCTTATGGCTGATGCCTTAGACTGGGGCCAATAGAAATTGCTGGAATATCTCAGCAGATCTGACAGCATCTGTGGAGAGAAATCAAAGTTAAAGTTTCAGGTCCAGTGACCGTTTTTCAGAGCCCTAGGCTGGAACTGTTTTGAACAGTGATTAGTTTGGTTCTTATTTGGTTCATTTAGAGGAAAGCATGCTAAGGACAAGATTGTATATCCTGAGCAAGTCGTTTCTGCAAGAAGTGCATGATTAATGACTTGGAACACACATGCTAAAACATCAGAGCAACAAAGTCTGAACACTTAATTCTTTTGCTGTCACGAATAACCCATTGGCCAAAGCAAGGCTTCGAAAAGCGAGGGCTAGGAACCCAAGTGGAGACATGAACTGAAAGCTTGAGTTCACAAGCTCTGAGGCAGCAAAGTTTCCGTGGACTGCTGACCAACTTATAATAGCTGGTCTTCCCATTCTAACAGTACTCACTGAGGTGGTGATGACAATTTCCAAGCCTTGAAAAGGCATCACAAAGGGAAAAAAGTGAAAAAAAAAAGTTGGCTAATGTGTTCTTCTTTCCAAAAGCCAGTTGCTGCAAAAAATAAAAACAGCTCTTTTTCCCTTCTATTTTCTTGAAGATTGTGTGTATGTATTTTTTAGGGATATTTAGAGAGACAGCATTTGTACTTCTATATTTCAGACCATATTTTAACCAACACAGTTCTGAGGAAGGGTCACCGGACCCGAAACGTTAACTCAGTTTTCTCCTTCACAGATGCTGCCAGACCTGCTGAGCTTTTCCAGCAACTTTGTTTTTGTTCCTGATTTACAGCATCCGCAGTTCTTTTGGTTTTTATTTGGTTCATATTTTAACCAATTCTTGCGTCATTATTGAATAAGATTTGATTTGATAATAAACCAATAATTGTGTTGATTAAGAAACATTGTGAACAGATCTTATTGTTAAAAACCTAATATAATATGGTATTTAGTTGGTCATCTTTGTCACTGAAACATGTTTTTTTATGTTGTGACCCCTGGAGCAGTGTGATGGTGCATTCCTTCAGCCTCAGTCGTTAGACTGCAATAAAACAATGCTTCATTGGTTAAAAAGCATTTTGGGATATACTGAGATTATGAAACACTCTCTAAGTGCAAGACTTCCATTGTTAAACAAAATGAAGCATACCCCAATCCTTTACCAGATTGTTTGACATGTACAGTACTTGCAGCTTCCTCATCGCATGAATTCCTTTGAGCTTCTCAATCAAGTTATACGAAATCCACAACTCTTCCAGTGTTTCCCCCACTGCCTCCTGTAGGAAATAAAGTAAATCTGATTAACACACCAGATTTTCACCGAGATCCAGGCATGTTGTCTGCTTCCTTGTAATTTGACACAGCACAGGATTTGTGAATTAAACACAAATTGATTGAGCAACAAACACTGCATTATTGGAGACAATTAGCAAGCCAAAACACTTAAAAAAAAAGTGAAACTGATTACAAAAAATAATTTAAAAGACTATTGGAATGTTATCCTCCATTTCCAGTGGACTAGAAAATTGATTGAATTGGTGTTTATCTGTTCAGAACTCTGGTTAGATTGCATCCGAAATAACAGTGCTCAATTTTGGGCACTACACCTCAGGAAAAGTACCGAAGGGTAGGCAGTGACAATTTTGTTTTATATTTTCAAAAGATGTGAACCTCGCTGACAAGGCCAGTATTTGTTGGTCATGATTGACCACACCATTTCACAGGTCAGTTAAGAAAGAGCCATAGAATCCCTATAGTGTGGAAGAAGGCCATTTGGCTCATCGAATCCACACCACCTCTCCGAACAGCATCTCATGCAGACCCACCTCCCTACCCTATCCCTGTAACCCTGCATTTTCCATTGCTAACTCAACTAACCTACACATCCCTGGACACTATCAGCAATTTAGCATGGCCAATCCACCTAATCTGCACATCTTTGGACTGAGGAAACCAGAGCACCCGGAGAAAATGCAAACTCCACACAGACAGTCACGAGTGGAATCAAACCTGGGTTCCTGGCAGCAGTGCTAGCCACTGAGTCACTGTGCCGCATTTCTAATGGGCCTGGAGTCACGTGTAGGTCAATCCAGGTAAAGGACAGCAGATTTCCTTCCCTAAAGGGCACTGGTGAACCGGATGGGTTTTTACAGCTATCAATAATGATTTTAGTTTTATATCATCTGCTAACTTTGAAATTGCCCTGTGCACATCATGGTCTAGATTCATTAATATATATCAGGAAAGGCAAGAGCCCCAATACTGACCCCAGGGAATTCCATTACAAACCTTCTTCCAGCATGACAAATATCCATTGACCACCTGTTCTGTTTACTATCCCTTTGCCAATGCACAACAACACTGCTACTGTCCCTTTTATACCACTTATACCTTTTATATCTCAAGTCTGTTGTGTAGCACTGTATCAAATACCTTTTGAAAGTCCATATACACATTAACAGCATTCCCCTCTTCAACCACTTCTGTTACCTCTTCAAAAAACTCCAGCAAGTTAAACATAACTGCCCTTTAGAAATCCATGCCAATTCTTTCCAAACAACCCAACTTTATCCATTTCTACTAATTCTGTCATAAATAATCGACTCTAAAAGCTTTCCCATAAGTTAAACTGATGGTCTGTAATTGCTGGGTTCATCCTTACAAACATTTTTGCACAAAGGCACAATGCCTGCAATTCTCCAGTCCTCTGGCAATTCCTGACTCTAGGGCATTTTGAAGAATTACTGCCAGCGGCCCTGCAATTTCCACTCTCGCTTACTTCAGTATGCATCTCATCCAGTCCTGGCACCCTGTCAACTTTAAATAACCAACACTTACTCTGAGTTAACTTTTAACTTTTCCAATGACACCCCTCTGACCCCACTAGTGATACACCTCTGTCATCTACCTCCTTGGTAAAGTCAGGTGTAAAGTACAAAGTATCTCAGCCATGCCCTGGTGTGTAAATCCCGTTTTACTATTGATGCATGTATAGAAGACTTTGGAATTATCTTTTGATGAACATGTTACCAAAGTAGGATAGTGGTATTTTGAAGGAGAAGTTTAAATTAATTGGGTGACAACTTTTCCCAGGGTAAAGGACATGAACAGTCTAATCTTACTTTCTTTGATGTAAATTCACCATGCCCTTTGTTGTCCCCCCCATAATTCAACTAACTCAGAAACTTTTTCCACTCTGCATTGCTTAGCCTTTTATTAGCTAAACTCAGAGCCATAGGGTAATTTATTAAATGGTTACAGCACAGAGAGAGTCCAATCAGTTAGTCATAGCAAGCTGGCTCTCTTAAACAGCAAATTAACTGATTCTACTCCTTCGTTCTTTCCCTAATACTGAGATTTTTTTATTCTCTTCAGATAATTACTTAGTTCCCATTTGTCCAAATGAAGTGTCATGTTGTCAAGAGATAGTCCAGAGAGAGATACAGAAAAAGTAAGTGGTCAAAAAGATTGGCAGATGGAGTGTAATGTAGGAAAATGTAAACTTGTCAATTCTGGCCTGAAGAAGAATAGAATTAGCAATAATAGAATTATTATTTAAATGGAGAGACATTACAGAACTCTTAAGGTAAAGAGGGATCTGGTCCAAGAACATGAACAGCAGAAAGTTAATACGCAGGCACAGCAAGTGATTAGGTAGGCAAAGGGAATGCTGGCATTTGTGGTAAGGGTTTGTGGTAATCTTACATTTGTGGGGAGGTTCACTCCACCTGAAAAGGGCCTTGGTGCGATTACACCTGTAGTGTGTGCACAGTTTTAATTTCTGTATTTGAAAATAGATAATTGTATTAGAAGCAGACTAATTTCTGAGATGAAGGACCTATTTTACAAAGAAAGGCTGAACACATGGGACATATATTCAATGCAGTTTAGAAGAAAAAGAGATGACTTAATTAAAAAATACAAGAACCTAAAGAAAATTGGACAGGCTAGATGTCAACAGGCATTTCCTCTTCAGGGAGACTAGACTAGAACTACAGGACGAAATTTAAAATAGAGATTTCGTTTTTAAGAATGAGATAAGGATTGTTCTGTCAGATGGTTGTTTGAATGTGAATTCTTTTCCCAAGAAAACAGTGGCAGCTGGTTCATTGAAATTATTCAATGCTGAGTTGATAGATAGGGAAGTGGAATGGAGATCATAGCTAGATCAGATAAGATTTTGTTGAATGGCGGAGCAGGCTCTAAGGGCTGAATGGTCTACTTTCAAGTCCTATGAATCTGCTTCCACCACCCTTTTAGGGACTGTGTTCTGTCAGTGTTTGAAATGTAGGCTTCCTTAAAAGTAGATATTTTCTAATCAACCTGTCCAGAGATGTTATTAGAAACAGGTAGGACTTGAATCCAGGCCTCCTGGCCCAGAGGTAGGGAAACTACCACTGCACCATAACAGCCTTCAAGGATAAATTAGAACAGCTCCAGAGATGATTGAAAGCAGGTGATGCAATGAATTTTCCAGGAGGCCTGGGTTCAAGTTCAATCACCCCAGGCATATGTCACAAAGTATCTGAACAGGCTGATTAAAATAAATACAAGAACTGGGATCTTCTTCATTATCTCCCCTGCTGTACACCATGTTGGTTTATCTCCTTCCCTTGTGTTCCCCACCTTTTCGTTTTACGTTGTTATTGCACTGCCCTGGTGAGGAGCTCTTCTAATTTGCATGTTTTGTTGATCATTTGGGTGATCTGCTGATGGGTTTTTGAAAATAAAGAGCTGGACTCTTCAACCTATGGTCCAGAAGTCCCTCCTGTCCCAGAAGTGTGTTGTAACAAATTTGAACAGATTGCTTAAAAATTCTTTCCACCAGTATCCTTGAAGTCTTTAGAGATGGGTGGGCATGGCAGGGGTTGGGAGTGCATTTTCTCCTCTCCAACATCATTTTGATTTAATTCTCTCCTTAGTTTCCTTCCCCTTTTTTGTTATTGTTGCACTGTCTTGGTGGACAGTGCATTAATGTTTTCATAAGTGATTATTCAGGTGATTTACTGGTGAGTTTTTAAAAAAATGTTGGGTTCTTCCCTAGTGCGATGTTGACTTTGGGGGAATATGGAAACTGGTGTTTGCGCTAAATTACAGATTTACTGTACATTTACAAATTGCCTAAATAAACATACAAATGCTGGTCTATTAAACACATTTGAATTCCTAACTACTTGTTGTTTAAAAGAAGCTCTTCAAGTCACTGCAGCTTCTTCTATCAATCAATTTAAAATTGGTTCCTTCTGGTTCTTGCTCCTTGCATCAATGGGAACAGTTTCTCTCTAGCTATCCCGTCTAGACACCTATGACTTGAATACCACTACTGAATGTCCTCTCAACTTTCCCTTCTATACAGAGAATATCTCCAAATCATTAAGTGCAGCTTTCAGCAGTGAGGTTTAGAAGAAGATGGTGGAACTATATTAACATACCAGACCATTTAAATTCTTTATATTGTTCCTTCCCAGTGACAGAATTGTTAATTTCTCTGGAAAATATAATTAAATGAAAACATTTCACTTTTTAAGTAACACGAGGTTGACATGCAGAAAATTTATCTAAAAGTTTTCAGCTACTCTAGACATTTTATAACTAAATCTCCCTTTCCCCATCTTGCAGCCAGGTAATCCCTTGAAAAAGACTAAAATCAGGGAATTCATGGGCCAATAGGAGCAAATTACTGCAGAAAATTCCAAGTGCTTCAATACAGCCCATGCAATTCTGAACTCTGTTCAGGGCTAAACATGGTTATTAGGCCAAAGATCAGATAGGGATATAAAATTAAGTGATACTTTGAACATCAGTTTGCACCCCTTCAATCCCAAGGCGATGCACAAGTTACTTGCACAGTTTGCTGCTACAAGCAGTCCGTTTCTCAGCAACGATGTGGAGAGCACCTTCAGCCACATGTCATATAGTAGTCACTGAGGATGCTGCCCAACTGCCACATCAATTCCATTTCAGTGGCTGACTCAGTGAAGACAGATCATTATTTTTCTGGAAGTTACAATCTAGCTTGACCTTCACTTGATTTTTCTGTTTAACTCAGGAAAGAATAACAGGTAAAAACAAAAAAACTGTGGCTCTGAATGTGCAGCAAAATAACACATTACTTACTGGTCTAGTTGCCTTCTATAAGTAACTTGTGAAGCAATCCCATTGGCACAGATCTGATAGGTCTCTGAATAGTCAGGGTCTATCCTTGGAGAAATCTCAATGTACTAGATAAGTGGTAACTTCCCAGGAAATATAAATTTCAAATTACCTAGCCTCTGAAACAGTCTGAGAAAATCTCCAACTCAAGAGTTAGAATTGGAGGCTTTAGAAGGGAACAATTTACTTTAATAAACAAAAACGGAAGTTGCTGGAAAAGCTCAGCAGGTCTGTCAGCATTTGTGAAGAAATAAATCAGAGTTAATGTTTTGGGTCTTGTGATCCTTCCTCAGAAATTCACAGAAGCTGCCAGACCTGCTGAGCTTTTCCAGCAACTTCTGTTTTTTTTCTGATTTACAGCATCTGCAGTTCTTTTGGTTTTTAATTCACCTTAATAGTCAGCCAGGAAATGTTAGACGATTAACACCCAATCCTGCCTAAGTATAAAACTGATGCCTCTCCTCTAAACAGACACGCAAGCTAACACATCCCACTTCAACTCTGCTCAAGAAATCTCCCACAGATATTGGAATTTCACTTATCTGGCAATCTATTGCCTCATGTGGCACATATCTCTCCCCTACCAGCTAGTAGCTTGCTAGGCCACTTCACATAGCATTGAAGAATTATCATATCAATGTGGACTTGGGTCACAGATTAGCAGACTGAGAAAGATCAATCGGCCTGCTTTCCTAAAGGACATTAATGAACCAGTCAGATTTTAAATATTCCAATAGTTTCATGATCAAGTCTATTGATGTCAAATTTTCAGTTTCCAGACGTTTTAAAAACCAAATTAAATTCTGAACTTGCCATGGTGAGATTGTAGTTCCAGTTCTCTGGATTGCTAGCCAGGTTAAATAAACCCTTCCCTACCATACCCAATTTTGTACGGTGGACATGGTGCTGTACAGTACATGTGAACCAAGTGTTTAAGTCAGTGGATGATACAGCAGAAAGCCAAACACTTGTATCTGTAATTCTGCTAAGAGCATTAAGTAGCTAGATTTATTAACATGAATGGAGTTGACATTACATTTTTGCTTCTTGTCAATCTCCGCATAAATGTGGAACCTAGGTTGAGAGTGTGATTAATGAAGATCACAAAACTTAAAGCAATGTTACTGAAACTTTTTTAAAGTTGACTTTTATTGAGAGAGAGACACACTTACTTAGTCCATTCAAGTTTGCTATCTTTTCGATGCAATTTGTCGAAAGAGATAACTTCCTGAAAAAAGGTTGAAAGAAGTGGTTTACATCTGAGATATCTTGGACCTTTCTCTTTTTCAGCATTAACTGATTTTCCACTTGTTTAAAGTAGTAATGTAGCAGACAAACTGTGGATAAAGTAAGACAAATAAAAACACAGAAGGTCTTAACTTGCTTCCAATGCACGTTTGGAACGTGCTGCCAAAGGCCGCGGTAGATGTGCACATTGTGCATTAGTGGTGGTGATTATTAGGGGGTGGGTGCTGGATGCTGGATGTGAAAGTATCTGAGGTGATGGATGACTGCTTAGTCCAAGGTTCCAGTGTTTTGCAGTTGCATACACCTGGGGTAAATGGATAATGTTTCATTTCACCTTAATCTTGTAGGTGATGAAAAGTGTTTGGGGAGTCACACAGTTATCAGTAAAAAGAATATGGAGAACTGAGGCAGAAGTAGAAAGATGTAATTGTTCTTTAAATAAAAGGGAGATAGTTAAAACAAAATTGATAAGCAGGTAGTACTGGGGTCAAATTATAACTCAAAGTTTACAATATGCATTATATTGACAATGTTTTTTAATCAGGAGTGCTGACAAAATTCCACAGAGATTATCGATCTCAAGCAGAATGATGAACAATTAGCCTCAGTACTTCTGGGGGAGGGGGGCATTGGGGAGCGGAAACAAAGGGGAAGGGTTGGGGAGCTGGAAGAAAGGGAACAAATAGGTAAGGGGGAAGAAAGAGTAAGGGGGGAAAGAAAGGGAAGGATGGGCAGTCACAATTGGGCTTGAATACTCTTCGACTCAACGAAAAAGAATGTCTAACTAATTAAGATACGCGACAATGGTGGAAACAGACCCAAACAAGTCAGGAGCTACAACAGAAAGGAAAGAAACCCTGGAGACTTTATGGCTTTCATAATATAAGTACTCATTTTAATGGAAGAAATGACTGGGTACGAGCAAGAGACACCCGCAAACACTCAAGAGTCAGTCTTGTAAAACTTACTCGCAATTACTCAGCGTAGAGAGGGACGCATCCATCTTCTCAATCGGTGGTACTTGGCCATATAACTTCACCTCCACAGCTTCAGCTGCCTTCTCACCTGATCTTTCTTCCTGAAAGAAATAAATCATCCAATCTGTCATTACCGTTTGAGGTTTGTGCTACTTTCTCACCAAATACTTCTGAGCCCTCGTTCTTCTCAATCTGTCATGTTCAATATCCCTACGATCCTTCAAGAGTTCTGCACTCCAACTCCTGGTCTCTTGCATATTCCCCCTCATTAATTAGCCTATCGTAAGGTCATGACTTCTATGTCTAGGTGCCAAGCTTGACATCCAAACTTTCAACTTCCATTTCTTCCTTTAAGTGGCTCAAAAAAAACTTCACTCTCTCTTCACCTCTTCTCACCACTGCCTGGGGCCCAGGTCACCCTCCCAACCCACTTGGACCAAAAGACCAGGTCTCTCTCATCTCCTCCAGGACTGGAAGTCAAGGACTCTAAATCTACCCTTCTGTGTTAAGGGTCCAGGTCCCTCTCTGCTGGCCGGAGACTTCAGCTGCATCAATGATGCAGGTGGACAATCCAGAAGGGCTGACAGCAAACAGGATGCCATGTCCAGATTCCTGGTGGAAACGATTAAAGTCACCAAGCTGCACAACATCTTCAGTATCCCTGCAGACAGAGTGCAATGTAGATGCATCTGGTTGCGCCGGGGGGTGTCTATCCAATCAAGAATAGATTTCTTGTTTGTGTCCCGCATGTTCTTGGTCAGATCCATTGAGGTATAGCCAGTGTTACTCTCTGACTACTGCCTCCTGCCACCTACAGGATGACCAGCATGCTGGCAAGTGGAAGCTGAATCTGAAATTGTTGACTCCAGAAAACACTGAGGAACACAAAAGGGGTTACACAGGTTGGAGACCCATGAAGCCCCTTTTTCAGTCTCCAGCAGACTGGTGGGAAATAGTCAAGTGAAACATCAAGAGGTTCTTTAGACAGATGGGGTAAACTGTCCAAATCCAGAAAAGCATGCAGAACCTACTCCTGCTGCAGACAATGGGGCTTGATGTCACAGAGGATCTCCAGGGGGTGAAGAGCCACCAAGCCTTGGTCTTTGCCTTGGAAGCCTCAAAGGTAATCTTCCATCCAGGGTCCGCATCATGAAGCAGGATGAGACATGTTCCTGTTTCTTCTTCCAGAAGGTAGAGAAGGACAACTTTGTACTCAGCAGCCTGAAGGAAGATGATGGCTTGATAACACCATCCCAGTCCAACATCCTGAGGATCCACAAATTCTTTTATGCCAGATTATATGACAGGATGCCCACAGACAGCACGGCCTTCTAGTTGTTACTGTCCCCTATCACAGAGGTCTTAGACGACAGCACACAGGGGAGGCTTGGCCAGCCATTATCTCTGGATAAGCTCACCAAGGCCCTGGAGTGCTTAGACAAAAACAAAACTACCAGTCAAGTTGTATTCAACTCTTTGGGACTAGATTGGCCAGGACCTGCTGAAGGTGTACAACAGTATGCTTCTGGCAGGTAGCATGTATGAATCCATGAGAAAAGGTACTATCACCCTCACCTACAAGCGAAAGTGGGAAGAGGGAGGAAATTAGAAATTGGTGACCAACTTCACTGCTGAATGTTGATTACTAAATCCTGTCTAAAGTCATTGCCAACCAGGTCAGGTCTGCTCTGGGACTAGTGATTCACTCTGACCAAACAGGTGCTATACAGGCAGGACAATCTCTGAGAGCATCACGCTCCCCAGGGCTATGTTCACCTACGTGCAGGACAGGGTGGAGTGGACACCTGTCTCATCAGCCCAGACCAGGAGAAGGCCTTTGACAGGATATCGCACACCTAATTTGGGATATGCTCTCCAACATCGACTTTGGGGACGGAATTCGCAATTGGAAGCGACTGCTCTACACCAACATTGGTAGTGCAGTCTCAATCAAAGGACAGGAGTCAGAAAGCATCCCGATCAGATCAGGAGTCAGGAACAGCTGCCCACTCTCTCCTGGTCGGCACTCGGCATCCTCAAGGCCCTGTGGGAAAAGGAGAGGGTAGATCCTGTCAGGTTGTTCCCTCAGCAGAATGCCTCATCACCAGAACTTTACAATTTGCACCAAGACATCACTTGGCTGGGGCGAAATCCTTCATGCACACCCGGACTCTTGTGCGCCACCGCATGCTGCCCTCAAAGCAGCTGCGAGGAGGGGCAGAGACTGTCACAGAGAACATCTTCTGCTGGAGTGTACCTTTGCAAAGGAAGTCTGGAGAAAGATGCAGTGGTTTGTGTTGAAGTTCGTCCCAAGCAGGTCTATGACGCAGGACTCTGGGTTCCACAGTCTATTCCCTAGGATGCACACCAAAATAAATATTGACTGCACCTAGAGCACCATCAGCTCAGTGAAAGGTGACCTCAACCAAGTGTTGCAGACTGGCACATTCCAAAGTCCAGGATTATGTGCTAAGGGACACACTAAAGCTTGCAGCAACTGCTGCCAAGGCACAGTGGGGAGAGACCACCATCTAATGTCTTTCCGTTGAAGTTAAATCGGCATCGTTCAGTTATCAAACCCGCCTGCAGTGCATCAAATATATGTTATTGTCTTGTACAAGTAAGAAATGCCTTTGGTTTGTTTCGTTGGGTAGAGTCAAACTCAAATGTTTGTTTCTCCATATGCTACTATACAGCTTTAGTGACTATGTATGTATATAAAGATATCTTCATGAATAACGTATATTTTTGAAATAAAAAAGGTACCTTCAGGACAGGAGACACCCGTCCAGGTCTCTGTCCAATGCCTCCCATATGCCCAACCCCTTCCCAAGCCCGCTCACCCCTACTCCTTTTCCGCACACCCAACCTCTTCTTATACCCTCGCACCCCACCACTTAACTCTACTACTGACTACTACTACCCCAAAACTCCCTCCTTCTAAACATTCTCCCACCACTACCCTAATCCCTTCCCACCCCCTCCCCTACACTTTTCCATTCTCTTCCCTAACTTCGTCTCCTTTTCTCCCCTCCCTCTCTTTCTTTCCGCTCTGCTCTCCCCCCCTTCTCCCTCTCATCCCATAAACACCCACCATCCCCAACCTCCTCCCCCCAGCTCTGTCCTACACAGCCTATACCCTCCCTTTCACCCTATCCCAGCAGGTGTGAGGGGTTCCTTCCCGCAGACACTTACCCACTTGGCCAGAGCCTCTTTGATGGTGGTCGCTTTGGCCTAAACAGAGATACAAAGACAGGGAGAGAAAAATAATCAGTAGTTACTATGAGAGTTGTGAAGGTCAGGCCCTGCGGTCAGTGGTCACTCTCTCTCTCTCTCTCTCACTGACCGGGCCGGTGGTCACTCACTCTCTCTCTCTCACACCAGGCCGGTGGTCTCTCTCTCTCTCTCTCACTGACCGGGCCGGTGGTCACTCTCTCTTTCGCTGATCGGGCCGGTGGTCACTCACTCACTCTCTCTCTCTCTCTCTCTCTCACTGGCCGGCCCGGTGGTCACTCTCTCTCTCTCTCTCTCTCTCACTGACCGGCCCGGTGGTCACTCACTCACTGACCATTTCTCCGGACAGTCTCCGCTCGCGCGGCGGTTGCTAGGCAAACAGGGAGCTGCGCGCATGCGCGTTACTGTACGGGCAACGTGGGGCGGAGCTTGAAAACCGAGAGACCCGAAATACCCCCTTTTGCCCCTAAAATACCCCCTTACCCTTAAAATAACCCATTTAACCCCTAAAATACCCCTTTTATCCCTGAAATACCCCTTTACCCCTAAAATACCTCTTTCACCCCTAAAATACCCCCTTTACCCTAAAATACACACTGTACCCCCAAAATACCCCCTTTACTCCTAAAACAACTCTTCTACCCCTCAAATAATCCCGTACCCCCAAAATACCCCCTTATCTCCCAAAATATTCCCTTTATCCGTAAAATATGCCCTTTACCCCTAATATACACCCTTTACCCCTAAAATACCCCCTTTAACCCCAAAATATACCCTGTACCCTCAAAATACCCTCCATACTCAAAAATACCCCTTTACTTCCAAAATATCCCCTTTACTTGCAAAATAGACTTTTTCCACAAAATGCCCTATATACTCCCAAAATATCCCACATTTCATTCAGTATCCCTTGTACCCTCATCATTATCCTTTTATTCCCTAACATGCACCCTGTACCTTCAAAATACACAATTCATCCAACAAAATAGTCCCCATACACCACAAAATACTCCACTTAGACCCAAACACACACACTACACTGCCAAAATACCCCATTACTGACCAAAATAGCTCCTGTACACCCTATAACACATCTCCACACCGAAAATAACCATGGATTCCCTAAAATACTCCCTTTAATCTCCCAAATAGCCCCTTTACCACCCAAAATAACTTCTTTACCCCCAAAAATAACCTCTTTACCCTTGAAGTAGCAACTGTACCCTCAAAATACCCCCTTTATCACCAAAATATACCCTTTAACCCAAAATATACTGTCTACCCCCAAAATACCCCACTTAACCCCAAAATCATCCTCTATCTCTAAAATATATCCTTTACTCCTAAAATATATCCTCTACATCCAGAATATCCCATCTACCCCAAAATACTCCTCTACTCCCAAAATCCCTAAAGTGTGGAAGCAAGCCATTTGGCCTATTGAGTTCACACCAACCTTCCAAAGAGTATCCCACCCAGACCCATCCGCCATCCCTGTCACCCTGCATTTCCCATCGCTAATCCACCTGGCCTGTATGAAGCAATTTAACATGGCCAATCCACCTAATCTGCATATCTTTGGACTGTGGGAGGAAACCAACACAGACAAGGGGAGAATTTGCAAACTCCACATGGACAGTTGCCAAAGGCTAGAATTGAACCCAAGTCCCTGGCACTGTGAGCCACTGTGCTAACCATTGAGCCACCTTGCCACCCCAAAATATGCCCTTTACACTCCAACGTAGCCCATGATGTTGTGCCAAACATGACACCAAATTAAACTAATCCCTTCTGCCTGCCCTTGGTCCATATTCCTCCATTACTTGCATATTCATGTGCTTATTTAAAAGTCCCTTAAACGCCCCTGTCGTATCTGCCTCCACCACCAACCCTGGCAGCGCATTCCAGACTCCTACATGCCGCTCACATCTCCTTTGAACCTTTCCTTCTCTCATCTTAAATGTGTGCCCCTAAGTTTTAGATGTTTCAACACTGGGAAAAAGATTCTGATCATCAATTCCATCTATGCATCTCCTAATTTTTTAGGCTTCTGTCAAGTCTTCCCTCAGCCTCCACTGCTCCAGAGAAAACAACCTGAGTTTTTCTAACCTCTTTTTATAACTCATATCCTCTAATCCAGGCAGCATCCTGGCAACCCTCTTTTGCACCCTATCCGAAGCCTTCACATCCTTCCTGTAATGTGAATTGAATGCAATACTCTAAGTGTGGCCTAACTAAAGTCTTATAAAGCTGCAACATGACATCCTGACTCTTGTACTCAATTCCCTCACCAATAAAGGCAAGCATGCCATATGCCTTCTTTACCACAGTATCTACTTACGTGGCCTCTTTCAGGGAACTATGGACTTGAACCGCAAGATCTCTCTGTACATCAATGCTGTTCAGGGGCCTGCCATTAACTGTATACTTTTCCTTAACATTTGATCTCCCAAAGTGCAGCAGCTCACACTTACCTGGATTAACTCCATTTGCCATTTCTTTACCCATATCTGTAACTGATCTACATCCCGTTGTATCCTTTGACAACCTTCTGCACTATCCACAGCTCCACCGATCTCTTCCCCAAAATACACCCTTTACCCCCAAAATACACCTTGTACCCTCAAGATTTTCCCTTTGCTCCCAACATATACCCTTTACTCAAAATACACCATTCATCCCCCAAAATACCCCCTTTATTCCCCAACATACACACTGTTCCTCCAAAATACGCACTGTACTCCAAAATTAACCATGTACCCCCGAAAATGGCCCCAGCATCACCAATACACTTTTAGCTTGCAGCCCGAATCCCCTCGGTGAACGTTCTTCATGACCATTTCAGTAAGATCCCAAGGCACCTGCACTCTGCCAGTCCTGGCCTTAAACTTCCCAGCTTTTAATCATTGTCCCTGTAATGGATACACTGCTTGCTGCTTGGCATTTCCTCTCTCAATCTCTCTTTTCCTGCACTCTTCTCCCGCCTTGACCAAGCTTTGGTTCACAGGCTGTAACATTTATTTCAGTGGTTTGATGTCATAGTTTGTTTTGTTGACACTATGGTAAATGCTGAATGTTTGATAAATTCACGTGAATTTATGGAAATGTAATGGTGCAACTATTGTTCACAAGGGTGCCCCCTAAAGGCACAGGAGCTCACTGCTCTTTAAAATGGTGCTCAAATCCAGTGCCAATTCAAAACACTCACCACCAGGCCATAAAGACAAGGGAGCAGAACTAGGCCATCCAGAACATTGAGCCTGTTCGACCATTCTATCTGATCCTCACAAGTGAGGTCAAGCAACTAGTGTGTGAAACAAATCCAAAACAATACACATTTTACCTCGAGTAAAAACATCCAAAGATTGCATTTTACAGAGTGACATGCTGCAGGATACAATTGATCCTTTACAGAAACAGACTGAACTAATTATCTCATTAAAGGGGGGAAATGGGAGGGGTCAGGAGAGGTTATTAAAGTTTGCAGAACAAGTAGGACAGAGAGTATGGGAGGGGTCAGGAATCTAATTTCAGACACAGCAGGGGACAATGATGAGAAGTGAGCCAGTCAATGCAGGACTGAGGGTGTTGTACATACATCTAACAGTATATAAAACAAGGTAAATACACTTGTAGCACAGATTGAAGTTGACAGTTACAATATTGTGGGTATCACAAAGACGTGGCTGCAAGGGAATTGGGACTGGGAACTGAATATCCAAAAATACACACCCTATTGAAAGGATGGACAGAAGGGGAGGGTTGCCTTGTTAGTAAGAAATTAAATTAAATCAATAGCGAGAAGTGATATAGAGTCAGATGACGTAAAATCTGTTTGGGACAGTTGAGGAACCGCAAAGGTAAAATGACCGTGATGAGAGTTGTGTACAGGCCTCCTAGCAGTAGTAAGGATGCGGGAAAGGAAATAAATCAGGAGATAGAGAAGGCATGTAAGAAAGGCACTGTTACAATAATTATGGGTGACTTTAACGTGCAAATGGACTGGGAAAATCAGGTTGGCTGTGGATCTCATGAAAAGGAATTGGTGGAATATTTACCAGGTGGGTTTTTTTGGAGCAGCTTGTGATAGACCCCACTAGGGAACAGGCAGTTCTGGATTTGGTGATGTGTAATGAGGTTAAGGAGCTTAAGGTGAAGGAACCCCCAGGAGGGAGTGATCATAACACGATAGAATTCACCCTGCAGTTTGAAAGGGGGAAGCTAGAATCAGATGTAAAGGTATTACAATTGAGTAATGATAACTACAAAGACATGAGGGAGTTGCTGACCAGAAGTGATCGGAAGTAAAGCCTAGGAGGAAAGACAGTGGAGCAGCAATAGCCGAAGTTTCTGGGAGTAATTTGGGAAGAACAGCAGAAATTCATCCCAAGGAAGAAGAAACATGTTAAGGGGAGGATGAGGCAACCATAGCTGACAAGGGAAGCCGGGACAGCATAGTAGCAAAAGAAAAAGCATACAATGTGGTGAAGATTAGTGGGAAGCCAGAGAATTGGGAAACCTTTAAAATCCAGCAGAAGATAATTAAAAAAGCAAGAAGTGAGGCAAGATGAGATATGAAGACAAGCTTGTTAGTAATATAAGGAAGGTTGCAAGACTCTTTTTAAGATGTATTCAAAGTCAGAGAGAGGCAACAGCAGACATTGGACTACTGGAGAATGAAGCTGGAGAAGTAGTAATGAGGAACAAAGAAATGGCAGAGGAGCTGAATAGGTACTTTGCATCAATCTTCACAGTGGTAGACACCAGTAACTTTTCATAACTTCAAGAGAGTCAGGGAGCAGAGGCAAGTTTAGTGGTCATCACTTCGGAGAAGGTGCTGGGGAAGCTGAAGGGTCTAAAGGTGGATAAATCACCCGAATGGATTGACTACAGCCAGAGTTCTGAAGGAGATAGCTGAGGCAATTGTGGAGGCATTGGTGGTGATCTTTCAAGAATCACTGGTGTCAAGGAAGGTCTCAGAGGACTGGAAAATGATTAATGTAATATCCCTGTTTAAGAAGGGAGGGAGGCAGAAGATGGGAAATTATAGACCAGTTAGCCTGACCTCGGCCACTGGTAAGATTTTAGAATCCATTATTAAGGATGATATTGCTGAGTACTTGGAAGTGCATGATAAAATAGGGCTGAATCAGCGCAACTTTGTCAAGGGAAGGTCATGCCACAAATCTGTTAGAATTCTTTGAGGAGGTAAGGAACAAGTTAGACAAAGGAGAACCAGTGGATGTGATCTATTTGGATTTCCAGAAGGCCTTCAACAAGGTGCTGCACAGGAGGCTGCTAAATAGGATAAGAACACCTGATGTTAGGGGCAGGGTAGTGGCAATGATAGAGGATTCGCTGACTAGTAGAAGGCAGAGAGTGGGGATAAAGAGGTCTTTTTCAGG